ATAGGGCTCTTACAGCTCTGAAATTGTAGGAAAGAAACTATATGCTAAAGGAAGGAGAGCAATTGACATACGTTGACATTAATGAATCCTATTAAGATACCTTTTTCCTGGAGCTTTGTGAATACTTGAACTTGGTGTTACCAAGCCCACACCTACTCGCTGCAAACTTCTCATAGAAATATATGTGTTTAGAAAAGAAAAGCCATCCAGCAATTCACTCATTCAGTGCATATTCATTGAAAACCTATAATGTGCGTGGCATTACACTGGGGTCTTGGTATACATCAAAAAAAAGGAAGACAAAAAGCTCTAACCTTATAGAAAGGGAAGAAATAAAATATATTGGGGATGGGAAAGTAAATTGTGTGGCATGTTGCGTGTCAGATACTATGGAAAAAGATAAAAGCAAGGTAAGATTTATGACACAGAGGGTGAGTGGGAAACTGAAGGGAGGTCAGAACAGGCCTCTTTTAGAAGATGTTAATTAAGCAAAGACCAGAGAAAAGTGCAGGGATTAGTCATCCAGGTATTCTGAAAGAACATTCTGGGCAGAGAACACAGTGAGTACAAAAGCGTTAATGTCAGAGAGCCTGGCTTGTTAAAATAGCGAGTGCTGAGTGCCCAGGGAGGGCACAGCAAGAGACAAGCAAAGGGTGCAGGGGACAAGATCGTGTCAAATCATGTAGGCAGTGGGCTTCATTCTCTGTGTGCCGGGGAAAGTAGAAAGCTGTCGTTTAAAGGATGTACTGTGAGCGGAGAGACAAGTCAGGAAGCTGTGGTGGCAATGAAACATCAACGCATTGCCGTAGTGGGCTGAAAGAAAACAAGCATTCTTTTGCAACAAAGAATATGGTGACAAAGCAATGACCCAAATGAGCCAGACTTGTTTCCCAAAAGGCCTTTGTGCATTAGTTTAAGTAATATGTGTGTGTCTGTAATATATTAGCAATGAGTTATATTACAAATGCACACATAAGGGGCTGGGGATTTAGCTCAGCGGCACAGCGCCTGCCTGGCAAGTGCAAGGTCGTGAGTTCAATTCCTGGTACCGGAGAAAAACCAAACCAAAAAAAACAACAACAACAACAACAAAAAACCCACAAATGCACACATAATATATATGTATATATATATATATATATATATATATATATATATAGAGAGAGAGAGAGAGAGAGAGAGAGAGAGTGTGTGTGTGTGTGTTTGGAGAATTAATCTTATGGAAGCGGTATATGTATAATCTTGATAATTTTTACTCCCCCCTCCATGTCCTCCCCTCTCCTTTATTTTGCTCTTTATCTATATTTTGTATTTCTCATATTAGAGAGGCCATGTGATATTTAACCTTCTGTGTCTGATTTATTTCACTGAGTATTACATTGTTGAGCAGATGCAGTATTCTTTAGAATGCCTTTCTCTGGCCCACTCCATTTATCTGTGAAGCTTCCTCTCAGGCGACCTCCGTCCTCCAAGGCCTTCTCTGATGGCCATATGCATAATAATTCTTTCATCTCCTCTCCACCCACAGTTCCTTCCACAGAACTATGTCAAGTTGTATTGGAACTGCATGTTTCCATACACACTGTTTCTCCTTGGCAGTAAGCTCGTCTAAGTCTGGGTTTCAAACTGATATGCTCTGAGTGCTGGGCATGTTTACTAGATTCATGCCTGCACACAAGGTCTTTGCAGGGAGAGTAGGTATGACAGCGGGCCTAGGACAGAGTAGGAATAAACAATTTTACTGAATAAAAGAATAAATGTATTTCAGCATCTGTGACTGAAAACAGATATGTATTCCCTTCATCTCTAGACAGAGGAGGCTCTAGGCATGTTGAGTCTTTAGGGTTAGTCCCTGTCTGGTGGTAGATACTCTTTATTCTGAATGACAATGCTTTTTGTCAATGATCTGTTCAGCCTTTAGGGCTAGGGAAGAAAATCATTTTCTAGAGATTAGAAAGCGGACTATTTGGAAGAAAAACACAGATGTTGTCAGCCATTGGATAAATGACAAAACTGAGACAGACAAACAACTCTGTCAGGAATGAGCAGGAAAATCAAACTCAATTGTGTTCCAGTCAGCCACACTCAAAATGGCTAACTGGCCAGCATCGCTAATCTTGGCTCATTGCCTAAGCTGACGGATGGCAAACAACTTTACAAATGGTCAGAGCAGCAGTAATAGATATTGTTCAAAGTAGGCTAACTAAAGCAAATGTGCTCAGGTGTGCATTAGCAAGAGCTCCAAGCTGGAAGGAAAAAACCAATTGTGTTCCCATCAGCAAATACCCATCTTTTATTTTCAGTATGCCTGTCTAAGCAATAATAGGTTGGAACTAGATAACAAGTGCCCTTGAAGTTCTAATTAATCCATTGGATATTTACAAAATGTCCTGTATATCTTGGACAAAAGCTCAATTCTCAAGCCAGCCAGCCATCCCACCAATCTGACTTTTATTTCTCAAGGCAGAAAGGGGGCTTCATGACTCAAAGAACCAGACACAAGAGAGATGCAATTCACTGAGAATCCTGCTACTTCTTTTATATACTGAAAATGTCCATGAGAGTTTAATAAAGAAAATTGTGTTCCCTCTCAGTACTTATATTATTATTTCTAAGATACTGCCTCTTATGTGAGATGTCAAGGGGAAATTACTTTATGTCTCCCCCGTGGTCCTTGGGTAGTGGAGAACAGGATCACAACAAATAGGTTATAAAGGCAGGATGTAAAGATAGTGATTTCTGATTGGGAGCAGAACTGATTTATAATAACTTTCCTATCTGCCTTTCCATCCACTTCATGCCCATCCCACCTATGAACACAGCAGAGAGGAAGAAGCGGATGTTTGTGGGGGCAGGACACTTCACAAGGGAAATTATGGCTGTGTTCTTCCGGTGGGCTCTTAGGCGTAACCCGATGTGCTCTGACCTCCTTGTCTGACAGTACTCTCTTCTCGCCCTCCCTCCCTCCTTCTGCCATGCTATGACTTTTAAGATCCCTTCAAGCTTTTTCTGCAACAGAAAGAACCCTGATTGCACCCACAACCACGTTATACATGGGAAATGTTCGCCTAAAGGGAAGCATGGGTAATTGCTTCATCTTTCATATGACTAAGATTACCAAGGAGTTGAAGAGTCATTTGCCATCAGATGAACGGAAGACAGTCATAGAAAGAACTCTGAATTTACACCCCAGTTTTGCAGGTCGTATGACCCCAAGAAAATCGCATCAACTCGGAAAAACACTTTAACTTCTGGTCTCTGAAAGAGGGATGATAATAATGCCTGCAGTATGTCCCTCACGGGGTCACCATGGAGAGCAAATGGAGTAAATAGCATCCTTAGTTCCAGGCACCCAGAATCCCTACACTACAAATGTTAGGGGCAGACATGAATGGGATTGCTGAGTGTGAATGTGCCTTCGAAGCTGTAGCATGCTGTGTGCATCTCATGTGTTATTAGCAATGGTTCTTGTAATGTCACTATTACACACTGAACCTCCTGTGCCTTCGTAGATGCATGGTTATCTATAATTCAACAATAAATAAGTATCCTCTGGTATCTCACTCTCATCAACGAAAGAGAAGCAAAGTTAGGCAGCAACGGCCTGGGGATACCCTCTTGCCAGGATCTTCCTACCTTGTCCTTATACAGCCTCACTGGGGTTGAGGAGAGTGAGAAAGGGAGAGACTGGTGTGGGATGCCTCGCAGAGCTTTCTTTATTGCTTCCGTAGGACAAGTCCCCAATGGGCTTCTTTGGTTGTTCCTAGAAATGAGACATATTTCACTCAGCCAGATATACTGATATTTTATTAGCTTTTTTTTTTTTTTTTTTTTTTTTTTTTT